ATGTCATTTGCACCGTCAAAGTTCAAAGTGTTGTTGCAAGATTGGCAGGAACCCATTCCTGCACTTTTATTGGATAATAACACTGTGGAAGTAGTCGAAAGCTTTGTCTACCTTGGGAGTTGCATAACGGCTGGCGGAGGTGTGGGCAAAGAGATCTCTCAACGCGTGATCTAAGCTAGATTAGCGTTTGCTAATCTGCGGCATCTCTGGCGCCGGCGTGATATATCCCTTTCATTGAAAGGACGTGTGTATTGCGCGACGGTACGCACCGTGTTGCTCTATGGCTGCGAGATCTGGCCTCTCCGAGCGGATCACGTCCAGCAGCTGTCAGTCTACGACAACCGTTGTCTGCCTAACATCGCTCGCGTATGGTGGGAGCATCGCGTGAATAATGATGAAGTCAGGGGACGGGTGCTAGGATCAGATAGTCTTCCTTTGGGCAAAATAATTTCACTGCATCGTCTTAGGTGGCTAGGGCACGTCCTGTGAATGCCTGAGCACCGTCTGTCACACCGTGCACCACTCGCAGACATCGGTCCAGGCTGGAAGAAACAACGAGGTGGGTAGGCTATGACGTGGTGCAGAGGGTTGAAGAGATTGTGCTAGGATCTGGCTTCCGTAGGGGTTTCTCGGCTCCCCGGCTGGGGCCCCAAAGATTCAGATCGTCTTTGGCTGGAGACACTGCGGGATATGGCATCGAACCGAAGTCAGTGGAGCGAATGCATCACCTCTTGTCTACAATCCCAAAAATAAACAAAAACGAAAAGTAAACTCAAAATGGCGTGCAGTGAACAAACAAAAAATATTGTTACTCCTCGAAGTTGACTGTTTTATTTCCCCCGTTTTTGTACCTATAATTTTTCGTTCGTTCGATTGGTGTAAATAATAAAAGTAATAAATTCATAGTGACANCTGACGAAGTGCTTCAAGAAGGATCGGGAAAAGTGGTGGTCATTAATAGTTAGTGAAATGGAAGTAGCAGCTGCATCAGTGGTCCCGCTGATGCGCAACATGGGAGGGCGGTGAACTCTAGTCAGTTAAATAGTATACGATAAGAAGGGACAAACTATTCACAACAGGAATCAAGGACTTGATAGCTGGGTGAGATACTTCAGCGAACAGTTCAGCTGAACTGGTGCTAACCAGGATGCTTTATTTGCAACCGAAGCTCCGTGGGCAGTGTCATCCGATCTTCCAGCAGAAGCAGAAGTTCGGTCTTGTATTCAAGCTATGAAACGAGGAAAGACAGCTGAACCGGATGAGCTCCCTCCCACTATTTTCAAGATTGGGGGTGATAACCTTGTAAGCTCTATCACTACCTTACTGCACAACATTTGGACGCAAGAGCACATTCCTTCATCTTGGGTCGAATCACTGATCGTTCCCATTTTCAGAAAAGGATCACGATCACGATTACGAAAACCACCGCGGGATAAGTTTGATCCCAATCGTCACGAAAGTGCTAGCCTTGGTCATACTTCGACGTCCGACAGCTGTAGTCCGATCGACCAATCGGAGTATCAAGGTCGCGATCTGATTGGTGCGTCACCACGTCGTGCCTGTACGCCCAATTTACATACTTATATTCGAATACCGCATCCGGACCATGAATTCCGCTCCGATTATCGTTCTCCAGTCCTGTTCACCCACCCGTATCATTGTTGGGGTCTAACTAAGAGGCGCCGGTACCGATCGTACGTCTAGGCGGTACACCACACTATGTATACCTCAAAGTATATTTGATCACCGATATTTATGAAATCAATCCTTTTGCTAAGTTTGCTCACATTAAAAGTTTCCAACACACAACAGAAGAAAGTCAAACGTGAAACCTTCTTTCAGGGAAATAATTCAATTGCAAGTCAAACATCCACGTCGATCAATCAAGAAAAAGATGTGTGTGTGTGTGTGTTGGTGAATTCGAATTCTGAGTAGCAACCATGTACATCATATCAGAAAGATTTCGCTGGGCCTTTTATACATTGTCACAGAAAGGAAATGCAGTAAACAACCGCAATCAGGGTCGATTTATTCAGTCAATGAGGAAACTTCGAAAGTTGAAAGTGAACACGCATACATAATTAGGGACATTTGTTTATAATGTGCTCGGTTCGTTTCATAGCACTTGGTGGGAAATCGTTTGGAAGGAAACATTTCATTCACCGCCAGACTGGAACCAAAGCTCAATGCATATATCTTTCACCGTAGTTTTGCAGTTTTCGATGCTGTAGGTAAACTGATTCTGCTCAACTGATGAAGGATTAGAAGAACATGGTTCGATAAATAAGGAAACAAAATGTCTTCAGGTTGGTAACAAAATACCACATGGGTATTCTCATTGCGGACCATTAGTGTCCAAAGTCATTTTCTCCGTCATTTAAGCCTTATCTGCTTAATCCAGAAGACCTGGTGAGGGAGACATGTGCGCAGATGCCATGACTCTGTTCAGATTTGGTTGGTAAGTTGCTGGACAACTGAGACACAACGGGACTTGCAAGTATACCTTTGTTTCCGTGAGGAATTGAGCGGGAGAGGGTTTACCTGGTCACGTATGCAGGCTTATCTTTGGAAAATAAGCAAATGTAAATCACGGTAGCTGTTCGAGCACCAAACGAGGAAAACAAGTTCATAATCAGTGATAAGAAGGAGGTTGTACTGGCAACATTCCAGAACGTGGTCATGTTGGTTATTGATTCATAAAATGTTTGGTTATTGACTACCCATGACATTTAACTTGTGCTAGGAAAACTGTAGTATTTGACCCACAGGGGTGGTTGTGATGAAATCTTATGCATCGGAACTCCGGCTTTCCCCAAATAATCCATTCGTAAAATTGCACTCAGTCGCAGACAGTGTGTGACAAATGACCGACCAATTTCAATCTCGTTCTCATTGGGTTACGCTTGGCTCGTTATACGTTTTGCTTGGACCATAATACGAACTGTGCAAAGTCAATTGTCACGTTAGCATTTTTAATCGGCTTTAGTCGCACGCAAATTGGTTGTTTGCACCTTGTTAGTTGCTCCCTGTCGCATGTCATGTTTGTCTGGGATTCGCAGGCTGAGAAATAATGTGTGGTAGAAAGTGTACAAATCGCATGGTTTGATGTGTCTGTGACGCTGCAATTACTGATCTGTGTAAATGAAGTGGTTACTGCTCGCCGTTTCTGGACACTTTTTGTACACTGTCAAGTGACTCTGGCGGGGAATCGGTAAAACAAACTGAACAGAAATCAATGACCGCTGCGGTGTATCGATTTTGTGACCGGAAATCAGACCCACGGACTACGTTGCTCATTGCATGCGTGTATTCAAATGATCAAAACGAAGACCCTCGCAGATGTATATGAACACTGTTCATGCCTCAAGTGAAATCAAGATGGATTACATATGAAAATGAGTTTGTAAAAAATTGTATACCTAGGGTTTGGGTGTTATTAAATAAAGTGCACCATAGTGGTTTGTGATAGAGGGAATATTCAGAGTTAGAGTACAGAAGCGGTAGATAATTTCATCCCCAAACCTACACAGTCATATTATAGGCAAAAATTAAGGTAAGCCCAAATGGAGCTTGTATTGATCAAAATTCGCAGTGAGGTAGATCATGTACGTTATAACGGTGCTCGCAATACCCAACCAACAGTAACCAGATGGTGTTATCCGCAATTGTCATTCCTCAATCAACGTATTTAAAGTCGTTTGATCAACTTTCCTATCAATCCCAAATGATTTTTACAATAGACCGAAAATAAACATTTCATTCTATAAAATGCATGCTTTCTGGTAATGGTAATAGACAGAAATCAGGAATCAGAATTGCGATCGCAATCAAAACACAAAATCTTGAATGCCGAAGGCGTCTGTGGCGGAAACGCAGGAAGAGGGCCACAAAAATAGCGATTAATTTGTTGCAACAATTCAATCGTTTTAAGTAACATCAAGTACATGATATGATTGACTGAACTGCATTGACTAATTGTAGTTCATGTTCTTCCTGACATCGATTCCTGGTTGAATCCGGCAGATTGCGAATAATCCAGAAAACCAGCTTCTCGTTGACCGATCTGTATCTGTATCACGTCGTTTCTTTGTTATGGTAAGCAGGATCACAAAACAATACTAGTTCTGCTCAAGTTTCGGTCCTTGGGGTATACAAAGATGGATCAGAGGGAAAGAATGTCTTTCGGTTCCCCAATTTATTTCAGGTTTTAAATAAAACCTTTCCAGAGCATTTTTAACCATGTTTTACGGAATCGAAAAGTCCGTAGTTTCTGTCATGGCCAGGGAACTTTAAACGTTAAAGTGATTTTATGAATTTTTCACTTGATGATATACTTCGATGAGGTACGTGGGTTATTTGTATAATAAACAAGGAGGGAGATAGAGAGTGAGTATCAAGGAGCAATTATCCGACTGCAAATGGTAGTAATAAGCTGATGCTCATCCTCCATTCCCATGGAATGAAAATGAGTGGCACTTAAGCAATAAACATTTTTTGTTTTTCTCGAAGTTTAATATTAGAGTCATGTGCTGAAGCGGTGCCAAGCGGAATTTTTATTTTTGGGAGTGGTCTACGGTTGTTCGGCAGAACCCCCATCCAGTAACGTAGTGCAGCAGTATGGAAGGGTTTTTATCCACAGGCTGCGTCTGAACAAACGTTACTTAGCTAGAGAAGCATTACTTATTGGTCGAATATGACTTATCCCATAGGAGACATGCCGAATATCAGAAAGGATAGGTTTCACACACGAGTTTACAGAAAACTAGAAGATTTGTGTATCCGAGCGATCAAATGTGTTGAAACCAAACATCGAATACGAGTCCAAATGTAGTGATTAAAATATTGCAAACTTACTTTCATTCAGTGAGTAATCCGTTCTTATTTCGCTTGTAAACGGACGTTTAGATTCCGTCACAATATAATCATCTGCATCTGAAGTATTTATTTCCAGAGAGACTAACTTCGAAGACACTAACAATTTTATAACCACGGCTTGTCTTATGTTTCTGGCGGCCTAATGGATATTATTATTTGCCGATAGTCGTAGCGGAAGAATAAGAATAGTTAATACCTAATAAATAGTACTGGCGATGCGAAACATATGCATGGTAAAAACATGAAACCGTTCGTTTACCTTTTGGATATTGTATCCGTATATTGTTTGTTATTGTTTCCAAGAATGTGCAATTCATGTGCCCTTTGTCTGTTTTACAATCCATTTGCTTTTTTCACTGTGTTATGTGCTGTTCCGTCCGCGCGTACTGCTTGATGGAAATATTACCATATGCATTTGCAGAAGTCATACCAAATACAAGTGTGATTCTAGTTGTTCAATTTTTACTGGAGGGAATATACGGACAGACCGACATGTTTAAAGCATATAAGGAAACTTAACTCGATTTCGAACTGTAAATTATCATCTATCTATCACCTTCTATCACCTTCCGCATTATTTATCGCCTAAATTCTAAACAAACAAAGAGCGTGGCACACACCAATCTGATATGACTCGTGTTGAATGGAGTAACTAGTGTCAGAATTGAGGCAAATTCTGGTTTCTGAGGGTTTTACAAAATACACAACAGATGTGGGAATTGTGAGTTGAAAATGATCGATCACGGGGAGCAAACGTCTTACTACATGCAATTTAGGGAAAATTTGGTATTGATCTCAGCTATATAATATCGCAAAAGGAAGACATACTTGGCAAGAGATGGATAAACATGTGATACTATTGATATGCTCAAGTGTGAAATGGAATTTCCAACGACCTGTCAGGATGACCATTGGGAGAAATGCGGTCCATCCCTTATTTCTGTTAATTTTACAACAAGGGTGTTACAGATGCTTGACTGGGCATTCAAACCTGCAACCCCCCNCCCCTCGGATTTTAGTGACCTCAAACAGCAGTTTTGTAATCCTCCTGGAAAAAATCGATCATCCTTAACTGTTCGAATGAGGCTCACTAAGAACGACGTTGATATAAACGAATGAAAATGGGCGCGTTTTGTATGAAAAATGCGCGACTGATTCCAGACAAATGACCAACTGCAATAACATATTCGTGAAGTCTTCGAATCTGCAAATCTCGCCAAAACTGAACACACTTCCTTCAGATCTGAGTAAGATTTGGGTATATTTCGAACATAGTTGACAATGTCTGTGTACTACTGGTGGATCGATGGGGAGAATATCACATAAATGAATATGCTTTTAGTTGCAGTACAATCGGACATTAGTTGTTTAGTTTTGCTCAAGGATATTATCATAAGAGAATAATGCCCAGAATATGCGATTAATCAGCTGAGTCTAATTCGAATAGTCTATGAGACAGTGTACCCGTGTAAAGATGATACGGTTTCTGATGTGCACATTAAGTGAGAGTCTTAATTCAGAATAAGAAAAACCACCAAGAAACCTTCCCCGTCAGTTTGTTGGTACATGGAAGGTTGAACATTCTCCAAGAAAGCACACAACAATTAACGTAACAGGTTGATGTGCACATGTATGTATGTGTATGTAGATATGTATGTATATATGTCTACTTGCATTTATTTGAGCTGGTGCCAAGGGCTTTGCAATTGAATATTCCCCTATTTCAGCTCAGATAGCCTCGAATCGCTTGTCATCCATCTGCTTCAACAAATGGAATACCCATGATCTCACTCAGCATGCTTGACCTTGGAATTCGACGCAGCAGGACA